ATCTGAAGAAGGCCTTTCGTTTCCGTGATGGCCTTCGCCCCGACCTTTGCTATACCTTGACTGGCCACGGAGCTCTGCCTTACTCCGAGATGGTCCGCCGAGCCACCGAGTTAGAGGTTTGCCAGAATGCCCAGAACGCGGCTGTCCCATCCTATTCGCAGGCCCAAATGGTACCGCCAGTTACAGCTGTTGCGTCCGGCTCTAGTTCGGGCAAGAGAAAGTTTGATTTCCAGCAGGATAACCGCAAAGGAAAGCGTGGAGCTCCAGACCGCCGCGACGTTCCACCTACCACCCAGGGTCAGCTTCCGAAATGTGCAAACTGTGGCCGACCACACTCTGGGCAATGCCGATACACTCAGCGAGTCTGTTTCAACTGTCTCCGCCCCGGACATTTCATCAGTGCGTGTCCCGAGCCCCGGAGGCAACCGCATCAGCAGCAGCCACCCCAACAGCAGCAACAACATCTTCCACCGCCGCCTCAGCAACAGTAGGGTAAACCGTGGACTCGTGGAGTCGTAGCGACCTCATTTTTATTCTCGTAGTTTTGAAACTTTGCAGACCCTTGTTTATTTTCCTTTCGCTTTGCAGACTATTTTGAATTGTGCTTGGAACTCCTTTATTCTGCTCAATTTCAGTACTTGGAATTTTGTTTGTCTTTCTTTCCTTTGCATGGGATAAGATTTCTGATGGAGTTAATCATTTTAAATTCTTTGTGATCCTTATCTATCCTCGTATATTGAGAACCTTGTGTTGTGATGCCTCTAATTCAATATGAAGTTTGGGAGTCGAGAAGTGTTGTTCCACTTTAAAAGATTTTGAGAATTTTTTAAGGAGGGTAGCTGTGCCTGGTGCAGGCACATCGTGAAGTTCATGGCCGTCTTCGCTTGTGATATTCGAAATCGTTGGAGCTCATTTAGGACTGCCGGCACGGTTAGCTACTTGAGCAAGAGCTGACGTGACGGCTGACACTGTTTGGTCGGAAGAGTCGAATGAGCCAAGCGTTTCATTATTCAGTAGTGAACGCTATGTTTAGGATTATTCCTAGATGAGGAACCGATCCTCGTTTCTTTGG